TATGAAATGAAATGAAATGGGGTTTAACGCCCTACTGTTCTGCTCCTAAACTGGGCTAATGACGACGGGCATACGCCGCCATACAGTGTGCTATGAGGGAAATTTTGCCCGGGCAACGGCGCTACGGCCTACTCTTATATCGAATTCCAACTGCTAAAGGGATCTTTTACGTGCACGCCAATATATACACGGGACCTCGGTTTTTCGTCCCATCCGAACGACTAGACAGCTGTCCTTGTCAAGCCCTCCGTCCTGCATCACTGACAAGGGGAAACCACGCCGGAAAATCTGGATGAGCTTTTTCGGCCAATGCACGGATCGAACACCCGACCTCCAGGCTAGCGAGCCAGCGTTTTACCCACTTAATCACGTGATCACCTTCCATAAGTATAACACGACTCCCTAATTCCAATATTAACTGCAACGGGTAAATTTCAACGTTAGTAATTTCCGCTGTTCTCCGTGGGTAGTCGTAACTTTTCGTCAATAAACAATCCGTGACGTCATTTTAGTCCTTCATAGAAATATAAGACTACAGCGCGCACGTGCTAACCATTCTGCCATCCAACCCCCTAGTTCCGAAAGTATTTCTATTTCGAATGGGACGATTGGCGTGTACGTAAAAGAACAATTTTAGTTGAAACTCAAAAATGAATAGGGGAAAATGCTGTTGTCCTGGCAACACCCCCCACCCACACACACACACACACACACACACACATTCGTATTGTTCACGCAATGCGGGTCTGTAGTGGCACATACTCAAAATGGAAAACAAATCAATGACTGAATTACAAGAAAGACTCAAAAGAAATATTACGACCTGTCTTGACGGTGGTCTTCTCCCGAATGGCGATAACCTGCCAGTTGACGTCATGAGTTACAACGTCAAAACAACTAACCATAAATAAGGGCGATAATCCTTGTAGAATGTTGAACCCGATTCTATTATAGGTGAAGGCAATTGATATAGATATGGATGAACAGCAAAGGATAACCTACGCTGTGGTAGAAAATAGATATATTTTCAATGTAAACGAAACTTCAGGGAAGATTACTATATTGGGCCAGACATTGTTTCCTACGAGTTTTCTTGTTCAAGCTTGTTATAACTCGAATGATTATTCTTCAAGGTTAGTATTAATCTGATTAAAACACAGATCCTATTTCGTTTCATGTTTTTATAGTTCAAAATTTCGTTTTACTTGTCTTTACTACACTAGGATCTGGAAGAGTTGTTATATAACCTGCGTTCTGGATCATCCAATGAAACGGACTTTTTGGCGTGAGGTGCAAGGAACTGTGGGTAACACACTAGAAACATCAACGCTGATTGGTTAATTAAATGTCATAGGGTCAAGAGTCGCTCGTATGACCCCTGACGCTCGTATGACCTCGTATGACCTTGGCAGCAGGAATTTGATATAAGAGTAGGCGATAGTGGCGCTGCCCGGGCAAAATTACCCTCATAGCACACCGTATGGCGTATGCATGTCTTCATTAGCCCAGCATTGGAGCAGAACTGTAGGACGTTAAACCCCATTTAATTTCATTTCATTTTTGATTTTATAGGCGATGTAGCCATGCTAGTGTTCGTGTTATGAAACATGACAATAAAACAATAGATGGCGCTATTGTTATGAAGATGGCTATAGCTGAGAACCAACCACCAGGAACCATACTTGCAGACATAAGTGTATGTTAAAATATTTACACGTACTTATACACACTCACCAAATCTTTAAAGTCGTAATATTTATATACCACCTTGACCTCTATGTTCCTGGATAAAACACAGATCCTATTTCGTTTCGTTTTTTATAGTTCAAAATTTCGTTTCATTTATTTTTACTAAACTAGGATCTAGAAGTATTGTTATATAACCCGCGTTCTGGTTGATGTGAGGCATTAGCCAATGAAACGGTCTGTTGCAGTGAGTTTTTAGTGTGCGATGCACGGAACTGTTGGTATCCCGCTAGAAACATCAACGGTGATTGGTTAGTCAAATGTCTGACGTCATAGGGTAATAAACCGCCCGTATGACCTATGACGCGACCTTCCTCTACAACTCGTCAGATCTGCATGTAGTAGAGGCCATCGAAAGTATAAAAAAACGAAACGAATTATAGATGTATATTTTAATCAGATTGACCGTGTGGTTCCAGGATAGGAATGAACTATCCATTCATCAAATCTTTAAAGCCATACTATTTATATACCACCTTGACCTCGATGTTCCTGGATAGAAATGAACTATCCACTCACCTAGTCTTGGTTCCGAAATCCCAATAAATATTTTTAAAGAGAGAGAGAGAGAGAGAGATGGGGTTTAACGTCCACTCGACACAAACTAGGTCATTTCGGGACTAACATATGGTTTAATTTTATTACTATAATTCTCTTACGCGTAGGGGTCTTTAGCAGTGGGAGGAAACCGCAGGACACGGAGAAAACTCACGAGGTTGGACAGGCGACCCTACACCTTGTCACGTACAACCGGGGAATCGAAACCCCGCCATGTTCACAGATGAAGAACTTATCGCCCCAACAGAACCACCGAGCTGCACATACGACACGCAATAGCGCCATACACGTGGGAGGGGTTCATTGTCAAATTTGACACTTCAAGGAAGAGTTGATGAAAACTGCCGCGTGCTGGTTTATCTATCCATGTTTGCTTTGCTATCGGTTCTTGCATAAGATTTACTGTTTAGCATATCTTTGACTTAGTGTGTTACGTTTAATTTGACCGGGAGACATGTTCGTCGACGTCAACGTCAACCGACAACACTGTAAGAATTGGCCGTGACACTGCAAGAGGAGTGGGTCAGATTGCCCTAAATCGTGATTGGACGGTTTAGGAGCATGCCATGACGAATTGCTGAATGTCTGAGGATTGGTGGAGCAATTACTCATTATTAAGACAAAAATCAAAAACGTCCATTTTCACTTTTGACAGTGTATCTCTTTGCGAGTGAAATGGGGCCGTCAGATAAGCAGCCCATATGAACTGTTTATGTTCATGTGTAGGCCATTGACCTGTTATTAACATACACTGGTTATCTCTAATAAAAACAGCAGTGCATTTCCGCAGTTTTATATTGTTTCCCCTTGTGCAGAATGAAGGGCCTGGCAAGGACAACTGTCTAATCGTTCGCATGAGACGAAAAACGGAGCTCCCGTGTATACATTGGCGTGCACGTAAAAAATCCCTTGGCAGTTGGAATTCGATATAAGAGTAGGCCATAGTGCCACTGCCCGGGCAAAATTTCCCTCATAGCACATTATATGGAGTATGCCCGTCTTCAATTAGCCCGGTCGGAGCAGAACAGTAGGAGGTTAATCCCCAATTCATTTCTTGACCATGGTTAGTCCAGAGTTCATATTAATTTGACACCCTGCTAAAATATACCCATAGAAGTATATAGTTAAAAAATAAATTCCGTGTTATTTATAGTTTCAGAATGATCAAGCTAGGCTTACTGTTGTGGAGAGCAATCCATATTTTTACCTTGATAAAAAGTGAGTATTAATAGTATGGGTGGGCAACCTGGTTAAAACACACATCCTATTCCGTTTCGTTTTTTATAGTTCAAAATTTCATTTTACTTGTCTTTACTACACTAGGATTTGGAAGAATTGTTATATAACCCGCGTTCTGGTTGCTGTGAAGGTTTAGCCAATAAAACGGTCTGTTATGGCGCTGCACGAAACTGTAAATATCCCTCAACGCTAATTGGATAATCAAATGTCTGGCGTCATAGGGATAAAAGCCGCTCACGACCTTCCACTAGTACCGGTCATATCTTCATGTAGTGCAGGCCATCGAAAGTATAAAAGAAACGAAACGAAATATAGATCTGTATGTTAAACAGATGGGGCGTGGGGGGGGGGGGCACAACACACTCAACCGAAAAGATAAACCTGCGGCCAAGACAAACTACACAGATTTTCTTCAGTGGGAAGGTTGGAAACACCACCCTAATAGTAAGTGCAGGGGACCGAAACGTTACGTTTTCAGTCGAGAATCAAAATTCAAATATTTATATATTGAACTCAAATTGGATACCGATTCCAACACGCCTGCTTTGCCCCTACGTCACTCCTTTAGTCAGAGAGGCGCCGTGACGTAGTGACAAATGAAATGGGGTTTAAGTTCCTACTGGTCTGCTTCGACTGGGCTAATAAAGACAGGCATACGCTATCATGTGTGCCATGAGGGAAATTTTGCCAGGGCAGCGGCATTATGGCCTCCATACCGAACCCCAGCTGCCAAGGGCTATTTTGCGCACATCCAATAAATACACGGGACTTAGCCCTAAGTCTTACCCTAACCCTAACCTTAACCCACAATCCCCGGGGAAATCTGCAAGTCTGCATGTGTAATAGATCTAGTCCTGTTCAAGACCTGGCCTCGAGTTCACAAAGCATTCTCAGACTTAAGTTAAGAATTTACTCAACTTCCAATCACTGTTTATGAGAAATATTTTTGATCCAGAAACACAAAACTTTGCACATAGTTTCTTATTGATGTATTTGATACATTCAAACAACACAAATATTATAAAGTCCTATAATTTGGTTAAAATAAGGTGAACAAGTTTGAGTAAATTCTTAACTTAAGCCTGAGAATGCTTTGTGAAGGTTGACCAAGAGCTAACACCCGAAGCTAATAGGGGTGTTGTATGGCCGAATGGTCAAGCACGTGCGCGCTGTATCATTAAGCCTGGTATTGAGTCAACTGGCGTGGTTTCGAATCCCCGGTTGTACGTGGCAAGGAGTAGGGTCACCTGTCCAACCTCGTGGGTTTTCCCCGGGTCCTCCGGTTTCCTCCCACTGCTAAAGACCCCTACGCGCAAGCGAATTATTGAAATAAAAAAAAATAAACCGTATGTTAGTCCCGAAATGACCTAGTTTGTGTCGTGTGGACGTTAAACCCCATTTCTCTCTCTCTCTCTCCGAAGCTAATAAAATGTTCAAATTGTTTATTTCCTATTCAGCCTGTTAAAGAGTCGTATGGAATTTGACAGGGAAGTTATACCAAGTTTTCAGTTAAGATTAAGCGCCGATAATGGTACAGTGGTAAGATATATTGTGTTATCTATATTGAGGCAGCCGCCTTGGCCCAGTGAGTAAGACATTGACAGGCTTAACTGGAGGTCACGTGTTCATCAGAATATTCCGGCATGGTTTCCCCCCCTTGTCAGTACTGCAGGATAGGGAACCGTCTCGTCTGCAGGAAGTGGCAAGGTTCGGGTGGGACCGCCTCGTCTGCAGGGAGTGGCAAAGTTCGGGTGGGAACGTCTCGCCTGCAGGGAGTGGCAAGGTTCGGATGGGACCGTCTCACCTGCCGTAAGTGACAAGGTTCGGGTGGGAACGTCTCGTCTGCAGGGAGTGGCAAGGTTCGGATGGAAATGTCTCTCCTGCAGGGAGTGGCAAGGTTCGGATGGGACCGTCTCACCTGCGGGGAGTGGCAAGGTTCGGGTGGGAACGTCTCGCCTGCAGGGAGTGGCAAGGTTCGGATGGGACCGTCTCACCTGCAGGGAGTGACAAGTTCGGGTGGGAACGTCTCACCTGCAGGGAGTGACAAGTTCGGGTGGGAACGTCTCGCCTGCAGGGAGTGGCAAGATTCTGATGGGACTGTCTCGCCTGCAGGGAGTGGAGAGGTTCGGGTGGGACCATCTCGCCTGCTGGGAGTGGCAAGGTTCGAGTGGGACCGTCTCGCCTGCTGGGAGTGGCAAGGTTCGAGTGGGACCGTCTCGCCTGCTGGGAGTGGCAAGGTTCGGGTGCGACTGATAGTTTAACTTGTTTATTTATTTTATATCAACGTAGTTTATTTATTTTATGATTTATTAGTACATCGACAACTATTTGATAGATATTGACGTAATAGATAGGAACGACAACTCTCCCACATTTACACAGTCACATTATACATTTGATGTACCAGCCGACGCACATGTTGGGACGGTTTTTGGGCGAATTATGGTAAGTATTAAATATTACATATATACACAAGTTGGAACGGTTATTGAACGAATTACGTTACATATAAAATATTAGAAGATGGGACTGTTATTGGTAGTATTACGATACAGAATTCTATTAATTTGGAATGTCTATTAATCGAAGATGCCCCAACATCAACGGTATACCGGTATCTAATATTGTGTTGGATATCGAGGTTGTTATTATGTACGACATCAACCAATCGCATTGTTTCATTGTTGTTACATCGTGATAGTCACGTTGTTGTTAAAGGGGGTAACTATCTTTGCTGTTAAGGCGCGTGAATATCTTTGTTGTTAAATGAAATGAAATGTGGTTTTATGGCACGTCAGCTCCAACCGAGCTATATTGCGCCAAACTTTGTTGTTAAGGATGGTGATTTTCTTTGTTGTTACGTTGCGTGAATATCTTTGTTGTTAAGGGTTATGACCATCTTTGTGGTTAAGGGGTGTTTCTTCATTTTTTCTAACGAGTCGTGACTATTTTTGTTGTTAAGGGACGTTACTGAATGGGTTGTTAAGGGGCGTGACTATTTTTGTTGTTAAGGGGGCGTGACTATAGGACACGTTCATCATTATCTCTATTTATCTTTATTTTTCAAGACTGACGATGTCAGGGCATTGACCCCGGGACTAGAATATCCCTGGTGACAGTCGAAAAGAACATTTGGGATTTTTCGAGCCTATCCTTAATTTGTCATGAATGGCGCCTAGTCGAGATCTTAGCATTTTCCGGCGTTTACTTTAAAGAACAATTAACGGTTTGATATAGTGTATAAGTGGGCGGAAACGTCGTTGTCCTGCAAAATACACACGTAACAATAGGAATAATGAAATAGCTCCATATGCCAGGTTGACGAGACGTTAAATCCCATTCCAGTTGACAAAGAAACACAATCTGGTTAAAACACAGATCCTATTTCATTTCGTTTTTATTTATAGTTCAAAATTTCGTTTTACTTTTCTTTACTACACTAGGATTTGGCGGATCTGGAAGAGTTGTTATCGTTGACATGTTTTGAATGGCGTGAGAGATTAGCCAATGAAACGGTCTTTTACGGCGAGCTGTAGGCATGTTTTGTACGAAACTGTGGGTAATCCACTAGTAACATCAATGCTGATTGGTTAATCAAATGTCTGACCTTCATAGGATCAAAAGCCGCTCGAATGACCTCTAACGCGACCTATCGCTACAGCCGGTCAGATCTTCATGTAGTGTAGGCCATCGAAAGTAAAAAAAAAACGAAACGAAATATAGATCTGTATTTTAATCAGATTGGGAAATGCAGTTTGGTTATATCCCCAATTGTTCTGTTATTTTGTACTTCAGGCAACGGATAACGATATAGATGAAAATGGCGAAGTAATATATGACATCCAAGGAGATGGGTTAGTATGATTTTCTCAAATATATCGGGTTAGGGGGTGGGATGAAGCTGAATTGTTTAACGCGTGCGCATTGGATCATAAGGTCTGTCATGTGGCGTGGAATTGGTTCCAGACTGGTACGAGAGAGAGAGAGAGAGAGAGAGAGAGAGAGAGATGGAGTTTAACGTCCACTCGACACCAACTAGGTAATTTCGGGACTAACACATGGTTTAATTTTATTTCAATAATTCATTTGCGCGTAGGAGTCTTTAGCAGCGGGAGGAAACCGGAGGACCCGGAGAAAACCCACGAGGTTGGACAGGCGACTCTACTCCTTGTCACGTACAACCGGGGATTCGAAACCACACCAGTTGACTCAATGACAGGCCTTATGATACAGCGCGCACGTGCTAACCATTCGGCCATCCAACCCCCCTTTGGTACGTGACAATGAGTAGAATGGCATATATAGTTACAGTTTAACCTCATGGGTTTTCTCTGGGTCTTCCAATTTCATAATGTCTGCCATTGAGTTTTTGACAAGGAGGAGAGTCACCTCCAACCTCGTGGGTTTTCTCCGGGTCCACCAGTTTCATATGGTCTGCCATTGAGTTTGTGACAAGGAGGAGAGTCACCCCCAACCTCGTGGGTGTTCTCCGGGTCCACCAGTTTCATAATGTCTGCCATTGAGTTTTTGACAAGGAGGAGAGTCACCTCCAACCTCGTGGGTTTTCTCCGGGTCCACCAGTTTCATATGGTCTGCCATTGAGTTTGTGACAAGGGGGAGAGTCACCTCCAACCTCGTGGGTTTTCTCGGGTCCACCAGTTTCATAATGTCTGCCATTGAGTTTGTGATAAGGAGGAGAGCCACCTCCAACCTCGTGGGTTTTCTCCGGGTCCACCGATTTCATATGGTCTGCTATTGAGTCAAGTGGCGTTGTTTCTAGTCCCAGCTTGTACGTGACAAGGTGTAGGTCGCTTGTTCAACCGCGTGGGTTTTATCCGGATCATTCTCCTTCCTCACACTTCTAAAGGCGAATTATTCAAATAAAATTAAATCTAATTAAAACACAGATCCTATTTCGTTTCGTTTTTCATAGTTCAAAATTTCGTTTTATCTGTCTTCACAACACTAGGATCTGGAAGAGTTGTTATATAAGCCGGGTTCTGGTTAATGTGAGAGATTAGCCAATGAAACAGTTTGTTACGGCGAGTTCTTGGTGTACTATGCACGGAACTGTGGGTTAACCACTAGGGACGTCAACGCTGGTTGATTAATCAATGTCTGACGTCATATGTCAAAAGCGGCTCGTATGACCTCTGACGCGACCGGCCACTACAACGGGTCAGACCTTCGTGTAATGTAGGCCATCGAAAGTATAAAAAAAAACGAAACGAAATATAGATCTGTATTTTAATGGCCCATTGTTCACTCTATGTGATTATTCCACACAGCTCCACTCAGTTTAGTGTTGACGGATATTCTGGTGAAATGAGCTTGGCTAAACTACCTGATAAAAATATTCCACAACCAATTGTCTACTTGACTGTTCGAGCAACGGATGGTGGTACTCCTCCTTTACAGTCAACCACACGGGTCAAGGTAGGACAACTTTTCAAATCATGAAAAAATAATTTGAATAGAATAGAATAGAATAGAATATGAATCAACATTAAATAAAACGCCTGATCAAAATAATTGGTGGTAAGGATTTATTGTTGGTGCTATAAAATAACTTTATATTTATATTAAAGGAGCTAAGTCTCTAACTCAATATCTTCCATAATATTTGAAATTAAAACATGAATTAAAATTCAATATTGATCTGTTTCAATCAACATCGATGTTTTTATCTTGCCGTCAAACTATAGGATCCTAATTTACAATATTTAAGACACAATTAACATTTTATTATCAGTACACGAGTCGTGTACCCTATGGTTTTGGATGTCATTTTGTAATGAACAAATAAAAACATATCCTACAATACAATGTGGAAGTCATTAGCAAAGGCTGATTCACAAACGACAAAATAATAATTTTAAAAACGTGTAGAATGCACTAAGCAGGCGTAAACGACTGCCTTTCAATTTGAACTGTTCACGTTTATCAACGAACATAATTGATTAGAAATTACAATATTTTTTGAATATAAATCACTTTACATACATTCAGATTACATTAATATGTGCTTTTAGAACCATTATTGTCTATTTCAAGGTTCCAAAAAATAGAGCCATACGCCCTTTAATATATTTTTTATTTTGTAGGTAAATTTTGGTGGTAAGAATATAATAGGCTAGTTAACAAGATGATAAAGGAGGTTTTGATTGAGATAGAGAGTATTACCAGAGAGAGTTTTACTAGACTATTTTATTATGAAATTACATGTCTGTATTTAAAATCTATATCACATTATTGACTTTAAAATCGGATTTTTAAAAAACCTTTGTTCCGAACTCAGTGTAATTAAAACGATACGAACATTTCCTTTCGTGTTATTTTATTATGTAATCGGATTAAAATACAGATCTATATTTCGTTTCGTTATTTTTATACTTTCGATGGCCTCTACTACATGAAGATCTGACCATTTGTAATATGGAGGTCGCGTTGGAGATCATACGAACGGCTTTTGACCCTATGACGTCAGACATTGATTAATCAATCAACGTTGACGTTTCTAGTAGTTTACCAGCAGTTCCGTGCAGAGCACGCCAAGAACTCGCCGTAACAGACCGTTTCATTGGCTAATTGCTCACATCAACTAGAACTCCTGTTATATAACAACTCTTCCAGACTAGTGTTGTTAAGACAGTAAAACGAAATTTTGAACTATAAAAAACGAAACGAAATAGGATCAGATTTTTTATTATGAAGCTACGTCTAATAAACAGAAGAGTGAGTTCTTATATTTCTCACAATTCCATCGAAGTTATGTATATTTAAATGAACTATTGACATTGAAATCGTTCACATTTTTGGACTTAATGGGCCCGAACCCTATCCCATTAAAAATTATAAGAACATTTCGTTTAATATTTGTTGGTTTACGCCAATTCATTTCCACTGTTGAGGCCATTCTTTAAAATAAGAAGAATGATGAATTTCCCCGTGAGAAATGTGGTTTAATGTCCTATACTTTTCTTCAAAAACAGGGCTATTAAGGTAATTAAGACGGGCTACCGCCATGTAATGTACTATGCGGGCAATTTTGCCCGACGAGCGATATCTTAGCATACTCGTCAGTGAATTCCGACTGTACGCCAACATGTACACAGGATCTCGGTTAATCGTTCCAACCGAACTACTATATCGTTAATTATTATAATTAATTGTTAATATTAAAAAAATATATATAATTGATTGATAATGTTAACAAATTATATATAATTAATTGGTAATTTTAAGAATCTTTTTCTTTAATCATTATAATTAATTTCTAATATTAACAAATTATATTTTTAATTATCATAATTAATTAGTAATGTTAAAAAAACGAAGTCTTTAGTTATCACAATCCAGTCTTACTGTCTACGTAATTATTAAGCCATTATTACTTTAATTATCGTAATTAATCGCTAAAGTTAACAAAACTTTATCTTTAAGATTTAGTAATTCATCGTTAATATTAACAAACTATATCTTTAAAATTAAGTAATTCATCGTTAACATTGACAAACTATATAATTATCATAATTAATTGTTAATCTTAACCAACAATATTTTTTTAATTGTCATACTTAATTTTTAATATTAACGAAGCAACATTTTTAATTATCATAATTAATCGTTAATTTTAACGAACAATATCTTAATTATCATAATTAATTGTTAATATTAACAAACCATATCTTTAATTATCATAATTAATTGTTAATATTTACCCATCAAATCTTTAATTATCACAATTAACTGTTGATATTAACAAACTATATCTTTAATTATCATAATTAATCGTTAATATTAGCAAACTAAATCTTTAATTATAATAATTAATTGTTAATATTAACAAACTGTTTCTTTAAAATTTAGTAATTCATCGTTAATATTAACAAACAACATCTTTAATTATCACAATTCACTGTTAATGTTAACGTAATTACTTGCTAATATTAACAAATTATAATTAATTGTTAATATTAGCAAACTAAATCTTTAATTATCATAATTAATCGTTAATATGAACAAACTATTTCTCTAATTATCATAATTGATTGTTAATATTAGCAAACTAAATATTTAATTATCATAATTAATTAGTAATGTTAAAAACCTTTATCGTTAATTATCATGATTAATCGTTCATATTAACAAACTTTATCGTTAATTATCATAACAAACTATTTCCTTAATTATCATAATTAATTGTTAATATTAACAAACTATTTCTTTAATTATCATAATTAATTGTTAATATTAACAAACTATTTCTTTAATTATCATAATTAATCGTTAATATGAACAAACTTTATCGTTAATTATCATAATTAATCGTTCATATTAACAAACTTTATCGTTAATTATCATGATTAATCGTTCATATGAACAAACTTTATCGTTAATTATCATGATTAATCGTTCATATTAACAAACTATATTTTAAAAAATACTATATCATTCTCAACGTACTGAACTTTTTTCCTATGATTTTGTGGTGTGTATTTCAGCTTTGCATGGTCTAATTTCTTATATGTCTCGTTTTTGTAGCCTATTCTCATATACATACACACGCCCAAGAACGAAACATGGTTATATTTGAGACTTGATAATCGTTCCTGTGATCTAAACTATGTATCGTCAATGTTATATGAAGGACTGGATAATTGTTCCTATCGTATTATTAAATAAAAGTTAGTCTGACATGAGTTACGCATGAGTCGACAGAATATATTATATTATTATGATACAGCGAACAGATAACACAGGTAGACAGGGTGTATTATATAACTATCTTGTCCTACTAATATTCACTGACATATTTTAAGTATCTCATTACGGTAAAGTCGTTTTTTAAAATATCAAAAAATGCCTTATTATGAAGATGATGTGGGACTTGTTTACATCGTGTTGTATCTGAAGAAGTTTAACAGGTATGTGTGTATATAGGTGTGGTTATTTTCCTGGTAGCTAAACACCCTAACGGGGATGCTTTACCTTGGCAGGTTGAAGTCTAGGACCTCGAGAGCTAGCAGGACTCCGGCCGAGGTGTAGAATATTTTTGACACTGTCATAAACCTGTCTTACAATCCCCGCAGTCTCAACCATAGCCCGTTTTTCGACATACGCCAGTATTAAGAAAATAAGGAGAAAGAGCAGTTTTTATGTGAATCCACTGCTCAGGCATCATCATTTATGATGTATTTAGTTCGTTTTAGAAAAGGTATTTAATCAAATGTGTTTTGGGGACATTTTGTAACTGTACGTCCATCAAATCTAGGGGTTTTTTTTAGATTCAAGTCTGAATATCGAAAAACAAGTAGCTGGTTTTTCGACATACGCCTATATAAAAAAACAAGGTGAAAGAGCAGTTTTTATGTGAATCCACTGCCCAGGCATCCTCATTTATGATGTATTTACTGTGTGAACCATCGTAAATTTTAAACGGATTTCTTCGATTATGAACAAACTACTTAACTTTGGTTATTATAAACTTACATGTATGTTTGTAATCAACTCCCGTTCGATAAAATCCATTGCACAACTAATTATCACAACGATGAAAACAAGTTCTCTCTTGAAAAATTTGAAAATTTACTTGTACTTCTTTAAGTAGCATTTAGAAATTGAACAGTAAAACACTAACACTATTTATGGAATAACAATCACTGGTTTAGTAATTGAACAGTAAAACACTAACACTATTTATGGAATAACAATCACTGGTTTAGTAATTGAACAGTAACACACTAACACTATTTATGGAATAACAATCACTGGTTTATTAACATGCAACGTTTCGACGATCATGCTCTCATCTTTATCAAGCAAACGATTCGTTCGTTCGTTTCTGGAGTTTTACGTCCACTTCCACCTAAGGTGATATCTTAGACAAGGATGTTTCCTAAGAAACTTACTGGAGGAAGCCGTATGGATTAGGCTTGGTCCAGTTAAATTTGAGACATAGTGTCTTAGCAGGGAATGCCCAAGTTAAAAATCTCATCGAAAGGAGCGGAGAAAGTTTTGGGGTAGAAAAAGGGGTGGCGAGCGGGCGCAGTCTGGTCCGCTTGGCCATAAATGTTACGATCTTTGTTTTGGGTGGGTAGGGGTAGGTAGGACTGTCAGCCGGGCCGCAGGGCCCCGCCGCCTGTCCGACCTAGGTTCAGGGGTGCAGCGATGTTTCTGGACCAGAACCAAGACAAAAAACGCCCCCCCCCCCCCACAGGATACCCGACATCCCTTCACTTAGGGACGCCCGACTAGCAAGCAAACGATAAAAACATAAAGTATTTATATACAGTATAAATGATAAGATATATGTAAAACATAAAGTATTTATATACAGTATAAGATATATGTAAAACATCAACAAGTATTTATATACAGTATAAATGATAAGATATATGTAAAACATCAAGTATTTATATACAGTATAAATGATAAGATATATGTAAAACATCAAGTATTTATATACAGTATAAGATATATGTAAAACATCAAGTATTTATATACAGTATAAAAAGAAGCCATAAATATAGATCTTATATATAACTAGCACTGATCAAAGCGATGATGATCAAACCCTAAGTTGTTACAATGTACCGAAGCCATAATTAATTACATATCTATAAAGCAGGAGTACGCCTAATTAGTGTTATTACAATGATACAAATAGGTGTGAAGCATTCATTAGGTGTGCAATAACACACATAGACTATTATTTTAATACCATTGATGTTTAATTTTTGATAATGGCGGATGTTAGATAGTATATGTAGCACTGGATCATATATATACTTAAATATTAAAGTAATAATTGATATTAAGGGCTAATCAATAAGCATGATTCTAAATGTTATGAATAATAATAATAATAATAATAATAAAAAAGTAATCAGTAGCCAATCCGATATATAATAATATATTGAATACAATAAGTGAGAATGGAACAACAATCCTGATAACAAAATGAATAACTGGAAAATTATTGTATCGTATGCGTGGGGAAGATAGACTCCTACATCTCTGTTAAGGGCCGGCTTGTGTCGTCGGATCTGAATACTTTCCATGATTTTCCTTGTCTTCTTAACATGTTGGTTCGCGTTCATCACATCTACTTTAGACCATTGAATTCTGTGTTTCTTATTGTTTCGCAAGTGTTCAGCGACTGCGGATTGGTTATCTTTGGATAGCGATTGGTGTTCCTTAATTCTAATGCTTAACGGTCTTTTAGTTTCTCCTATGTACTGGTTTTCAAACGAGCAGGTCAGTTTGTATATGCATCCTGTTGGTAGTGGAGGGTTTGATGGGGGGTTCTTCCCGTTAGCC